AAGTGCTTGCATAGTATGTGCCAGGCACTGAAGAGGAGTATATACTGACTCTACCGTATATACCATGGTGGGGAGCAGTATGACCTTATGTTTTATCTCTTGCCTCCAGGGTTTGGTAAACATATTGAAAGCATATGTTGAAACTCTTCAGTCAGTGTTGGATATAGTTTGTCACCTGGAAGTACTTGAGATGTATTTATAACGTCACCTAGTGAATAGTCTGGTTTAAATTATATAAAAGAAAGTAACTCTGGGGCATCCAATGCATTAGTTCAATCACACTTATCAAAATGCTTTCGTGATAACAAGACACTTTATCAGCTCTGTGTTTGTGAAGTTAAAGGGATCTGTTCCCAATGCCCTCTGATAAATAAGGCCATGTGGAAGGTGCTATTTAAGATCCTTCTGTTCAGAAGGATAAATGAACCTCTCATTTTATGCAGATTTCAGTGAAGGGAAGAATGTCTCCACAACATATTGGAAGTAGTTTAGTTCATTGCTAAACATTAACATTGCTCAGCATCATAGCAGTTAGCCCTAGTAACATTGCTCACCACTCCTGCTGTATCATAGTGTATGCTGTTTTCTCCCCAGATGCTTTCTTCTCAAAAATTAATTCTTACACAAGCTTGGTTTACAGGAAAAGAAAATAGGATCCAGAATCAGAACTTCAGGAGTATCATTAGGCGTTTGTAATTATTATCTTGCTACTCGGCATTTATTTTTTCTTCACTGTCCAAACCAGAGCCAGAGACTGCCTTAAAATAAAAGGGGTTTTAAAAATTTTTGTGATGTGTGATTGAGTAATTGAATTTAGGGATACTGTCAGGGAGAACAGCTGACTTCTGGATACCTCATAAAAGAGCCTGAATTACAGTTCTGTTTTCTGGGTGTTGGTGGTTTTACTAGTTATGTTTAATAGCATCAGCTTCCTACTCTTTAAGCAGCAACCTCTGACTTGCTTAGTAAATTTGCCTGACATAATAGGCTTTGAACTATAGCGAGTATTTGTAATTTTAGTTCACCATATTCAGAGAAGTATGGTGAGGACAATCCTGTGGATGAGGATAGTTTCTAATGTATAATTTTAAGGTATTGAATTGGGTCATTAGAAACCTTTAATATTTATTGAGCATTCAGTGTGTTTCATGTTATTTAGCAGCATAAAACATATTGAAGATGTAGTAAGGCCTTGCCTTCTAAACACAGTAAGGAGGGAGTTTATGTTTAGGGTTGAATGCTTTGCTCAGTGCTGGGCACATTAAAGTGTCCAGTAAATATTTAATGACTTGCTTACCAATGCATATCACAACATTGTTTACTCAAGCTGTGCAAATTCTTGAGCAAATATTTTTTATCACAGAGGATTCTGTTTGTAACTTAAATTCTTCATAGAAAACTTCAGAATTAGTTAAGTCCAATAGGGAAATTCTGACAGATTGAGTTAAGGTAATTCCTGTCTCATGAAAAATGATCCTTTGTTTAAACTATCTTGCTCTGAACATGCAGAGCCCTAGCTTTTAAACTAGAAACATGAAAGACAGCAAGGATCTTATTCTTTGTGCTTTAAGGGAATTTAAGCTGTTAGCAAGGGCTAACCCTAAGGCTTTCAGGAGATGGAGTGTTTCCTACCATACCCTGTGCACTGTACTTCACTTCTTGAGTGTCTGTGCTGGGAAATCCCAGAGGAAGCTGCTTGTGTCACAGGTTTCCCCTTCTTGCCAGTGCCTTGGAAAAGAAGCCAGTATCTTAAAGATCTCATTCTCCTTTTGTAAAACAAGATGGTGCTGCCTAGTCTGTGGAATTTCCTGCTCTCTTGTCCCAACACAGGCTGCATTTGGTGTATGTGCCTGCGCCCCCCCCC